TCTCTTGGGTGTGCCCAGGGTCCTCAGAACAGGCCAACAGGAGACAGAGGTAGCCCACTCTGAACTCCAGCCAAGGGAAGGAAAGGCCCTCTGCCAGCCCCTAGTCTTTGGGCTCCCAGGGCAGCTTGGGGCTGGGGAGAGGGGAAGGGTCCCATGGGGATCCTGTGAGGGCTAGATGGAGGAGGGAGAAGAGAGGAGTGAACCAAAAGGAAGACAGGGTTGAGTAGCGAGACACGTGTAAGAGAAAGGAGTCTAGAAAAGAATGAAGAGTGAAGGAGGGTATGGCATCCCAGGCTGAGAGAGAGAGGAGGGGAAGGGGTGATGGCATCCCAGGCTGAGAGAGAGAGGAGGGAAGGGGTGATGGCATCCCAGGCTGAGAGGAGAGGAGGGGAAGGGGTGATGGCATCCCAGGCTGAGAGAGAGAGGAGGGGAAGGGGTGATGGCATCCAGGCTGAGAGAGAGAGGAGGGAAGGGGTGATGGCATCCCAGGCTGAGAGAGAGAGAGGGGAAGGGGTGATGGCATCCCAGGCTGAGAGAGAGAGGAGGGGAAGGGTGATGGCTCCCAGGCCTGAAGAGAGAGAGGAGGGGAAGGGGTGATGGCCCAGGCTGAGAGAGAGAGAGGAGGGAAGGGGTGATGGCATCCCAGGCTGAGAGAGAGAGGAGGGAAGGGGTGATGGCATCCCAGCTGAGAGAGAGAGGAGGGGAAGGGGTGATGGGCATCCCAGGCTGAGAGAGAGAGGAGGGGAAGGGGGTGATGGCATCCCAGGCTGAGAGAGAGAGGAGAAGGGAGTTGATGGCATCCAGGCTGAGAGAGAGAGGAGGGGAAGGGTGATGGACATCCCAGGCGACGAAGAGAGGAGGGGAAGGGTGATGGCATTCCCAGGCTGAAGAGAGAGGAGGGGAAGGGGTGAGCATCCCAGGCTGAGAGAGAGAGGAGGGGAAGGGGGTGATGGCATCCCAGGCTGAGAGAGAGAGGAGGGGAAGGGGTGATGGATCCCAGGCTGAGAGAGAGAGTGAGGGGAAGGTGATGGCATCCCAGGCTGAGAGAGAGAGGAGGGGAAGGGGTGATGCATCCAGGCTAGAGAGAGAGGAGGGGAAGGGGTGATGGCATCCCAGGCTGAGAGAGAGAGGGAGGAAGGGTGATGGCATCCCAGGCTGAGAGAGAGAGGAGGGGAAGGGGTGATGGCATCCCCAGGCTGAGAGAGAGAGGAGGGAAGGGGTGATGATCCCAGGCTGAGAGAGGAGAGGAGGGGAAGGGGTGATGGCATCCCAGGCTGAAGGAGAGAGGAGGGGAAGGGGTGTGGCATCGCCAGGCCTGAGAAGGAGAGGAGGGGAAGGGGTGATGGCATCCCAGGCTGAGAGAGAGAGGAGGGGGAAGGGGTGATGGCATCCAGGCTGAGAGAGAGAGGAGGGAAGGGGTGATGGATCCAGGCTGAGAGAGAGAGGAGGGAAGGTGATGGATCCAGCTAGAGAGAAAGAAGGGTGATGGCATCCCAGGCTGGAGAGAGAGAGGGAGGGGAAGGGGTGGATGGCATCCCAGGCTGAGAAGAGAGAGGAGGAAGGGTGTGGATGGTCATCCCAGCTGAGAGAGAGAGGAGGGGAAGGGTGATGGATCCCAGGCTGAGAGAGAGAGGAGGGGAAGGGTGATGGCATCCCAGGCTGAAGACGAGAGGAGGGGAAGGGGTGATGGCATCCCAGGCTGAGATATGAGAGAGGGGAGGCGGTGATGGCATCCCAGGCTGAGAGAGAGAGGAGGGGAAGGGGTGATGGCTCATCCAGGTTAATAGAGAGAGAGGGAAGTGAGAGGAATAGGGGAGAAAGAAGGGAAGGAGATGGGTAGGGCAGCAGGAGATGGAGGAGACAGGGAGAGAGAGGAGGAGGAGAAGGAGAAACAGGGGGGGAGGATGCGAAAGAGGGATGGAAGTTGGGGCTGAAGGAGACAGAAGGAGAAAGGAAAAAAGGAATACAAAGACAGAGAGAAGGCCGGGCGCGGTATTGGCTCAAGCCTGTAATCCCAGCACTTTTGGAGGCCGAGACGGCGGTCACGACGTCAACAAGACTCAAGGACCATCCTAGCTAACATGGTGAAACTCCTAGCTCCTACTAAAAAAATACAAAAAACTAGCCGGGCGAGGTGGCGGCGCCTGTAGTACAGTACTCGACAGGCTGAGGCAGGAGAATGGCGTGAACCCGGGAGGCGGAGCTTGCAGTGAGCTGAGATCTGGCCACTGCACTCCAGCCTGGGCACAGAGCAAGACTCGTCCTAAAAAAAAAAAAAAAAAAAAAGACAGAGAGAAAGAGGGAGAGAGAAGAGGGAGAGGGGCACGAACAGAGAAAGAGGAAAGAAAACCCAGAACCCAGAGAGAAAACTTGCAACTGGGAGAGAAGTCAGAATGAGGCATGAAAGAAGGCATTTCTGGAGCAGAGGAGAGGCCAGCCAGCCTCAGGAGGCTGTCCCCTGCTCACTGCCCTCACCCACCCACTGCCCACCCCCGGCTCCCACCACTCACCTTGTCGGCCGACTGCGAGGTGCCAAAGAAGATGGGGATGAAAGCCAGCCAGACGATGCAGGTGGTGTACATGGTGAAGCCAATGGGCTTGGCCTCATTGAAGGTCTCGGGCACGCCGCGTGTCTTGATGGCATACACGGTGCACGTGACCATGAGCAGCATGCTGTAGCCCAGAAGGCAGATGAGCGACAGGTCTGAGATGTCGCACTTGAGCACACCCCTGGCGAAGCGGGGGTCCAGCGTCCGCTGGTCCTGGAAGTCCACCACCGAGTGGGAGGGGTCCACCACAAACCACACACAGATGCCCAGCAGCTGCAGCGAGATGAGGCTGAAGGTGATGGCCAGCTGCGAGGCGGGGCTGATGAAGCGTGGGGCACTGACTGAGCGCTTGCCCTGCTCGAAGATGCGGTAGATGCGGTTGGTCTTGGTGAGCAGAGCCGCGTAGCTGATGCTCATCCCTAGTCCCAGGAAGATTCGGCGCAGCGAGCAGGTGCCGAGGTCGGGCTCGGCAATCATGAGGAAGGTGGTGGCGTAGCACAGGAAGATGCCCGCCAGCAGCACGTAGCTCAGTTCACGGCCCGAGGCCTTGACGATGGGCGTGTCATTGTAGCGTACAAAGGTGATCACCACAAACAACGTGGCAGCAATGCCCACCACAGCCAGGAAGAGGGGCAGCACTGCCCAGGGTGAGTCCCACTCAAGCTTGATGATGGGGATGGGCCGGCAGCCCGTGCGGTTCTCCGTGGGCCGCATGTCGTAGGGACACGTCTTACAGGTGTAGCGGTCCACCTGGTACTGGTATCCTGTGCAAGGCTCGCAGTGCCAGCAGCAAGGCATGCCCTTCACTGTCTTCTTCCGCTCACCTGGCTGGCAGGGCAGGCTGCAGATGGAGCGGGGCAGCTGCTGCCCGCTCCCCGGCCAGTGCATCCGCTCTATCTGGCAATGACAGTACCGTAGAGCAGGCCTCAGAACACGCCACCCTGCGCCTGGGACCATCCTACTGGGTGGTGGCACCTTGTAGCCCCACACTCAAATCACCCAGCTAGTTGGCTAAAAGTTCAGCTGCCCGGACCCCACAGGGACATACTGAATCTAACAGCTGGAGTTAAATAAGGTCTCTGGCATAACTCAGACATAATTGACCTACAGGGAATCCTGATTGAACCTGAAACTCCCAAGATTCATATGAAGAAACTGAGCCCAGAAAGCAGTAGTGACAACCTAGAGTCACAGGAAACAACAGTGGCAGAGCAGAGAGAACTCAGGAGTCCTGACTCTTAGCCCCTAAGGCCTTGCTACTCAGTGGTCCCAGGGCGGCGGCAGCAGCCTCACCCAGGAGCTTGTTGGAAAGGCAAATTGCAGCGCCATCCCATACCTACTAACTCAGAATCTGCGTTGCAGCAAGACCCCCCAGCTGATTCCTGTGCACACTGGAGTGGAAGATGTGCTGCCCTATGGCCCAGCCCAAGGCACCTCTGCCAAACAGCACATGGAGTTGGATTCAGCAGGGAGCAACGAACAAAAGTTTAATCAGAGGGTGCTTAATGTGTGCTCAGGGGTTAGCATTTCTTTACATCTTGCTCTAAATTAGTGCTACGCACAGTTACATGTCCCTGAAGACACAATGGCTGTGAGTAACAGAGCCACATGAGTGTTGTCACACGCCACTGAATATGCTACAATATTCCGGAAAGTGAGAGTCCCAAAAGAGCCTCAGGCATTGGGCAAAGGGACGTGACTACACCTGGGAGCTGTATCCAAAGCAACTGTTCTAAATAAAGGATCTCTTAGGAAGAGCTCACTCTCAGAGCACAGCAAGCCTGACTAGACTGGTGTATTTGCACTGGGTGCTACCTCCTGATAAAGTGTAACCAGCTGGTAGAGGGGTTTGGGGAGGGCTTTAGAATAAAGGAAAAGGGGCCAGGCACAGTAGCTCAGGCCTGTAATCCCAGCACTTTGGGAGGGCAAGGCAGGTGGATCACGAGGTCAAGAGATCAAGACCAGCCTGGCCAACACAGTGATACCCCGTCTCTTCTGAAAATACAAAAATTAGCTGGGTGTGATGGCATGCACCTGTAATCCCAGCTACTTGGGAGGCTGAGGCAGGAGAATTGCTTGAACCCGGGAGGTGGAGGTTTCAGTGAGCCGAGATTACGCCACTGCACTCCAGCCTGGCGACAGAGCAAGATTCTGTCTCAAAATAAATAAATAAATAAATAAAATGTTAAAAAGTAAAAAAAAAAGAATAAAGGAAAAGGATAAGGTGGGGTGGGTAGGGATGCCTCATGGCAAAGTAGGAAGAAAATCTCAAGGGAGAAGGTTGTCCTGTGGTTCTGGGCATGACAGGATGTGGATTATCTCAGAAGCCAAAGGGCACAGAGCAAGGACAAGTGCAACCTGTCCTGCAGGAATGTCGAGGTGGGACGGTCCCTGTGCACTGCAGCTGCACAACTGCAGGGGAAAGACCCTTCCCCAGAGGACACAGGGCGATGATGAGTGTTCCGGAAAACTCTGTGGTTCCAACGGAAAGAGCAGTGACTGAGGTCAAGTCCTGGGATCACAGTTCTGTTGCTATCTGGCTGTGTGTCCTTGAGCAAATGGCTTCTCCTCTCTGAGCCTTTGTTTTCTCATCTGATCCAATGAAAGCAGATATGAAGCTACTTTGCCCTTTGTTACTTGGAGTGACCTCCATTTAGAAGTCATAATGGATACACTTTTTAATATTTCAGGAGAATGTCAGCTCCATGAGGGCAGGGGCATTGTGTTAATTTCCCTGCTGTGTCTCCAGCCCTCAGCATAGGCTGACACATAGTAGAGGCCCAGCAGGTCTCTGTGGAATCTATGAAAGAATAACCGAGCAGGCAAAAAGGTCCAGGGTACCAGTGACGCGAGGCCGCCACACTCTCAGACTCTGGAGGAGGACAGTGGCCAGGTAGGTGGTTACAGCTACCTTGCCCGCTCTGTGGCCCTCACAGCACAGCCCAAACTGAGCGACTCACGGAGAAAGTGGGGAAGGTTGATGGTTAAAGTCCAACCCCATCTCCCTCCTCCCACCACCTCAGCTCTGTCCGGACCTTACAGGTGAGGAGATCTAAGAGGGCATTGTGAGTTGCATCAGAATGGGCTATGAAGATGGTCTGGCCGGTGGAGGGGCCTTGTATTCCTGGGGAGGGGACTTTTAGGGGAAGGGCCCACTGCCACCCACACATGCCCAGTCCCTGCCTTCCACCTTCAGTTAGGACATCTGGAAAATAGGGATAACTGCCTGCCTCACAGAGCTGTCATCCTCACAGCAAGGGGATGTGTTTAGAGCAGCAGCTGGAACACAGCAGGTACTCAGTAAATGCTAGCTGCTGCCACTGGTGAGTTCCAGTCCCCGGCCCCGGGGATCTGCCCACTGCACCAAAACAAGACAGGCACATCGATTTGGTGTTGTCCCACTTTGCCAAGAGCTCCTCATACCCCATTGTGCCCATCTCTCTCCACTCAGCAATCCAAGGAGCCTCATTTAAGAACAGGCTGTTCCTGCCACACGGTGTGGCCTTAGGAGAGTCCTTCTGCCTCCCCAGGGTTGGGTTTCCTGAGAGATTTCCTCTGACTTAGAAGATGGTTGGGCTAAATGAGATGCAGGCCAAGAGTGCCTTGAAGAGCAGAGCACGAGGGGTTCCTCGATGGAAGAGATTATGACAAGAGGAGACAGCGGGGCCTCAATGCAACACCCACAGGATCCCAGGACAAGGAGGGCAGAGGCCAGATGAGGACCTGTCTCTGAGTCTCTCCAGTCTATCCACGGGGTCACAGTGGGCCCATCCCAGTTATGGCTCACCCCTTCCCCTTGCAAGGTACAGACCAAGTCCACAAGCACTTTGTTGGGGAACAAATCAAAGGTCCTTTCTCTCCAAAAACACTGCTGTGTTTCACTGCTGGGATACTGAGGGCCCGAAAGGGAAAGTCACCACATCCCTGGGACAGTCCATGAGCTAGGAAAGTGTGGCTAAGAGGACCTAGAAAAATGGCTGCCTTCTATTGTGCTTTGATGGGGCTGGGGAGCTGGCAACTGGCTCACTACCCACCAGTCAGTGCCACAAATCCCACCGTTTGACCGGGGTCGTTTGCCCTAAGACTTCCTCTTCTGTCCAAATGCAGCCCTCCTCCTCCTCACCTTATTCCCCCATGCCCCCCCATCGCCCCCCACCTGCCCACCCAAAAAATCTTTGAGCCATTTGACTCTGGTGTGAATTCTTCTATCCAGAGTTCCCCCATCCCCTCCTCAGTGGGTAGCAGGCAAGAAGGCCCCAGGCTAAGGGATGGGGCAGGGACCAGAATAGCAGCAGAACTCCGACTGCCCTGTCTTCCATTTCAGGGTGGGGGCCTCAGAACCGCTGAGGTCTGGGAGGGGGCAGTGGGAAGGAAGCCCCAGCCTGGCAGCAGCAGTCCTGGAGGTCAGGGCTAATCAGCAGCAGCCTCCCCTTGGGCCCCCCTCCCAGGGGCTGGAACTGCGTGAGTGACTCTCTACGCACTCCCTGCCCTCCCACTTACTCTAAGGTGCAGGTGGTCAGTCCAGGAGCCGATGACCTTGTACTCAGCAGAGTCATTGCGCAGCTGGTATTGGTAGATGTCATAGCGCCCAGGCGCATCTCCATTCTCATTGAAGGTCACAGGGTTCCCTGCGATGCCTGTAAGGGTGGGTGGGTATCTTTGCAGAGCCTTTACCCAGAGGCAGGGCGGATGATGAGCCTGGGGCAGAGACCTCTCTGACTCACCCCTTCATGGAACATCCGGGGAGATTTCACCTCTTGGAAACATCAGGAGAGGCCTCCCATTCCCACCCCACAGAGCCTAAGGGCCCCTCCCCTCGGGCATGGCCCAGGATACCCAGGGTCAGGCATGGTCCGCACCACGTCCCCACCTGAGAAGTTGACGTTTCGGATGTACTTAAGCAGCTGGGTGCCATCTACGGGGTCCATGCGCGGGCAGAGCCCCACGCGGCCAGGACACAGGTCACGGTGCATGGCATGCAGCGCGTGGCCCATGGCGTACACGGCGTCAATCACAAACTGCACCTTCCCCTCCTGCTCATAAGCTGAATCCTGCCCAATTCGCTCACGGTCTGCAATGAAACACCAGGAACAGGGACACTCGTGAGGCCCACTGTCCTTACAGTGGTGTCATGGGAGCCAGACCACCCTCTGGCACCTGGAGAGGTGGCACAGCCCATCTGTGCACGGCCAGGCCTCTTGACTCCCAGCCCAGTGCTCCATCACCCAGGAGATGGCCCTGTGGAGGCGCCTGGAGACAGGCCCATGGGTGTAATGGGAAAGTCCACCGGCCTGGACACTGTGCCACTGATGCCTGTGCCACCCAAGGTCCCAGAATATCCAGGGAAGACTCCCTTGTCACCTGTCACCCTGGAAGGCAGCGTCCCAGAGGTCTCCCTGTGGCTGTGGCCCTTGATGCCTTCCCCCAGTCCTGGCCTGGGATAATCTTGGGAGTAGCTGCCCCTCTCGAAGTCTGGGAAACATCCAGGACAGTAGCTGTGTCCATCAATGAGGGGAGTGTCCCTAAAGCCAATCACCCATGGGCAGTCGATCTAGCCAGAGGATGTTGCCCTCACCCCAGGGTATGGGTAGGGAAACTGAGGCCCAGAAAGGCTGAAAGACTGCCCTCAATGGTTTCCAGTCACCCTAGATACTAGAAGTCACCATCACCCCCATCCATCCCTCTTCTACCTCAGGGACAACTCTCCTGTCCCCCAGTGGCAAGGATAAGTGAACTCTGCAAACTGAGAAACCCATCCCCATAGACTCCTCACTGCTAACCGCAATGGCTCCCCAAGGCACCGCGACCTGGGGTCTGACCTCCCATCTTCCTCCCCTCCCCTCCGTGTCCACTGACCTCTGCTCTGGGGCCCTGTGCAGCCTCCTTGGTTGTCCACGTCAGCAAAAAGGGGATCATGATCCCACCTCACAGAGCTGCCATGAGGCTTCCATGAGATAAGGTACTGAAAACACTTGGCAGCCAGCAGGTGGCTCGTCCATGGTACCCTATGTGCTAAGTGGGCAGAACAGGTGCTTCCAAGAGGACTATGGAGGTCCCTGGGCTGGAGCAGGTGGGACAACTTTGTGGAGGGGGAAGTGGTTCCTGGCCTGGACCCTGGGTAATCCTGATATTAGATAACACATTGAATAACAACAGTAACATTAAGTAACTTCCACCAGTACCTGCTATGTGTCAGGCATTGTACAGAACTCTTGATGTATATTCACTCATTGATTTCTCACAACAATGCTATGGTATAATCAACTCCATTGTAGAATGAAGAAACTAGCTGGGCATGGCACGCCTGTAATCCCAGCACTTTGGGAGACTGAGGCAGGTGGATCACTTGAGGTCAGAAGTTCCAGACCAGCCGGGCCAACACAGTGAAACCTCATCTCTACTCAAAATACCAAAATTATCTGGGAACATCTGGAGAGGCCTGATGGGAGGTAGCTGTAATCCCTGCTACTCAGGAGGCTGAGGCACGAGGATCACATGAACCCGGGAGGCAGAGGTTGCAGTGAGCTGGGATTGCACCATTGCACTCCAGCCTGAGAGACAGACTGAGACTCCATCTCAAAAAGAAACTGAAGCCCTGAGCACAGAAAAGCTCATCAACATTCCAGGACCATGAAGAGCCGATGTGAACCCAGGTACTCCAACTCCAAGCCTGAGCACCACACTCTGCCACACAGGGATGCGGGAGGGCAGGAACGTGGGGAGGGGACCAGGGATCTGAAGTGAGGACATGGGGGCAGGAGGATGGCTGGGAGGAGGAAGGGGGAGGATGGGCAGAGCTAGGGAAGCCTGGCTTCCCCTCCCAAGACCACAGCCCCTGCATACAGCATGGCCTTCTTCCTCGAGGCCAGGCGAGGAAATTACTCCTCCTATCGCTCTACTCCTAGCCCGTGCCTCTCAGCTAGAGGGCACATGCCACACTGCACAGAGGCAATTCCCCAGAGGCCAGCAGGGTGTGCGGCTGCACCTGCGTCCTGCCCCCATAGGCCAGGGTTAAGCTGGGTCCACAGGAGGCAGTGATTTCCCAGAGGTTACTGTGTCCAGCCCCCTGCCTTGGACACGCTGGAGGCAGACCCAAGGTACAGGGGATCTCACTGCCTCTCCCTGAGGTCTGCTTCTAATCCCTTCACACCGTCTAATCCCGGCCACACAAGGATGTGGGGATGGGGGATAGCTGGCCTGGTCACTCATTAACCCTGCCAGCCAGAACCACATCCCATTTTCAGCCTTGCTCAGGGTAGGTACTCACATATTGCTGAGTGGACAGTAGAAACCATGGAACCACAATGCTAGGGACACCAGGACCACGGGGGTCATCTGCCCCCACAGCCATTTTAAAGACAAGAAAACTGAGGCTGGTGGGGAAGCCCAGGTCACACAGCCAGGGTTGACAGGACGGGCACTCCCAGCTTCCAGACCCCACCCCTGCTCCATCCCAGGCTGCACTTGACTTGGCTCACGTCTGCCAGCTTTGCTAACCAGCAACACTTTTTCCAGGCCAAGGCACAGACAGACAGGATGAACACGAAAGACAGCTTCACCATCCTGCCTTGCCCGAGGCCTCTGATCACAAGGTCGTGAGGGCTTAGGGAGAAATAGAATGGACGATCCCATCCCCAAAGGACACAGAGAAGGCTGGGACAGAGTCGCCTGGGAAGACCCTCCCTGGACCCACACTTGCTCCCCACAGGCCCCTAGGCCCTGCTCTCTCCAGCCTGAGGAAGCATAAAACACTACTTGACTCCCCCACTGCTCCCATCACAGCCTCATCTCATATGGATGAGAGACTAAATTATTAACCAGGGATGGAGTGGGAGGCTGCGGCCACTGCAGAGAGAAGGCAGCTCTCTCCCAGGCCAAGGACGCGCCCAGCCACTGGAGGCCAGCTGGATCTCTGGGGAAACACACCTCCCCCACGAGGCTAGCCTTAGCCTCTCCTCAGAGGGTCCCGCTGAAGCATCCACTCCTAGGCCACTCGGGCTCGGGGCCACGGGCTCTCTCTAGGGTCACGAAGCCATCAGTATGGATGCTAGTGTGGACATCCCGCAGGAGCCCCCTCGCCAGGGAAACCTGCCTCCACCCAGGGCAGCTCTGGGGGAAGGGCTCCAGAGTGCTAGGCCTGGGGTGCTGCCCCTACAGAGCATCCATCCCAGCGCTGTCACAGCAGTGTGGACTTCTAGCAACTTCTCAACTTGCTGCGGCCTCCTGGACTTTGTCTCAAGTCTAGCCCCAGTAACGTATGGGAAGACTGGGGTGCAGTGAAGTGACCAGGCTGTGAAGATGCCTACCACACACACACACACACACACACACACACACACACACAGATATACATACATACACATATATACACAGACACACACAGATAGACACACACACAGACATACACTGAAATAAACACACACAGATACACACACACACCACACAGATACACACACATACACACACAGAAACACACGCACACACCACACACTCCTCAACTCTGGCCTCAGATGCCTCAGGCCCTTCCCTTGTGCCCCACAGGAAACTAGGTGACTCCTCTGCAGGGGTCGGAGCATGTAGGGGAGGGGTGGGGGATACTGCAGGAACCACAAACCCTCACTAAACAAGACAGGACGCTCTGGCCTAAATGAGCAGCTGCAGTTGTGCCTGTGCCTCACCCAACCCGGCTCCTTAGCAGGTGACTCTGCAGCCGTGGCTCATGCTCACCCAGAGCCATTGTGTGCCTGGCACCTTGCCTTCCCACAGCTCTGGGAGACAGGCTTCACTGGCCCCCTCACAGGGTGGGGAGCAAGGTTTGCAGGTGGGTGGGTGACATCCCAGAGCCTCACAGGAATCCTGGCACCGAGTAGGTGTTTGACACATACCTGTAGATGGAGCTAGCTGGGAAGTGGTGGAGCTGGGACTTGAACCCAGATCTCTTTGGTTGTCCAAAAGAGTCTTCAGTACCCTGAACTGTCCCTCCTCCATTTAGCCACTGACCTGCCTCCTTCCCCCTGTCCTGGGACCCAGGCCCTGCCCGCATTGTCTGGCCAGGCCTAACCAGGGATTAAGGACTCCCTGTCTGCAGGTCTAGAGGAGGAAGGTGGCAGTGGAGGGAAAGGGGTGGGAAAATCCCCTCTCTTGGGTGGGCAGGAACCCCAGGACCAGGCAGGGGCACCGCAGTTCTGGGAGAAAGCAAGACATGCATTTCTGAGAGCTGTTGGAGGAGACAAATTCCAGACACATGGCAGCAGTGACAGCAGCAACAGTTTGAAGATGTCCTAATTGTGTCCCGGGGCACAGTGAGGCAGAGATGCGTTTGGCTCCGCCACGGGTGACAGTCATCTGGGGAACCATCCAGGGAGGATTTTCTCCGTCAAAACCCGGAAGCGTGGTTACTACGGCGACTGCAGCCTTTGTCTGCAGGTTGTAAATTGTAATTGAAATGAGTTTTCAAGGTTGAAATAATCAGAGTCCTCCTCATCTCCCCCCTCACCTCTCCACAACTCACCCGCCGAGCCACAATCCTCCAGTTCTAGCACCGGTACACACGTGCGTGCACACACATTGCTGAAGCAGCTCCCTCACGTCAGGGTAGACAAAGTCCACCACACAGACACTCACAGATATTCACATCTGCATGCATAGAGTAGCAAACACACGGACCTTCATGAATTTACACACGTCTACACACACATGCATGCTCTAACACAGGTGTACATATAAATGCTTCCAATATAGCTACAACTACACATTTAACGTGACACTAACACAAACACATGGGTATTCAGATTCACCCACTGGCTTAGGCTGAGAAGTCCCACAAGCAGATGCTGAGGACTTGAGGACAAGGGTTTTATTGGGGGTGATGCCAGGAAGCATGAGGAGGGGACAGGGAGGTGAGGTGGAGGGGGGAAGTCAACTAATGCCAACATGTGGGGCTCCGTCCTGCTGGGGACCTCCAGAAGACCCTGTAAACTACACCTCAGCGTCGTCCCATTCATGGGGATAAATGCTCCAGCTCCACCGGTCCTAGGCTGAAGGCTGCTCCCAGAGGCATGAGCCCCATTA